ATGCTAGGGCAGCTAATGTATCGCGACACCTTCATCCACCTCGAGGAAGACGCGCCCGAGGGGAGCCACAACTGCAGATTGCGAGCTCTGAGTGCTCCAATTCGCAGCCTCCATTGCCAAGCATCCGAAGCTTTGGAGCATGATTGGCAGAAGAAGAACGCCGCACTCCAGATGTATGTGGCCGGATTGCTTGCTCAACCAACCTTTGACAAGAAGTCCCAAGCATCCGAGTCTGAGGAGGACGTGGCCTCTGAAAGCTCGGACGAAGAAAAGCCCGACCAGAAAGAGGATGACGCCGTTGGGGTGCGACTGAACCGAGGAAGTTTGGGCCACCCTGGGCTTTGTCGACGCCCCTGCGTCCACTTCGCGAAGGCAGCAATGCCGTAGGTCTTCTCGTTATGCTTTTTACTTCCAGATGTTGCAAGATTGTATTGTACAGTACTGGTTGACAATTGATGCATAGCTTCCAGTTGTAGAAGTGGCGGTGGTGGTGGTAGTAGTAAAAGTAGTAGTGGGAGAAGGAGTAGGAGAAGGAGAGGGAACAGGAGCAGCAGCGGCAGTAGAAGTAGCAGCAGTAGCAGTAGCAGCAGCAGCTAGAGCAGGAGCAAGAGCAGGAGCAGTAGCAGCAGCAGTAGCAGTAGTAGTGGCAGCAGTAGTAGCAGCAGCAGTGTAGTAGCAGCAGTAGTAGCAGTAGCAGTAGCAGTAGCAGTCAGAAGCAGGAGCAGGAGCAGTAGCAGGAGCAGTGGTAGTGGTGGCAGTAGTAGTAGTAGTAGTAGTGGTAGTAGTAGTAGGAGTAGTAGTAGTAGTAGTAGTAGTAGTAGTAGTAGTAGTAGTAGTAGTAGTAGTAGTAGTAGTGGTAGTAGTAGTAGTAGTTGTAGTAGTGGTAGTAGCAGTAATACTAGTAATACAGTAATACGGTCATACAGGAATGCAGTAATACAGAAATACAGTAATAAAGCAATACAGTAGTACAGAAATACAGTGATACAGTAGTACAGTAATAGTTGTAGTAGTAGCATCAGTAGTAGTGCTAGCGCTAGTGGTAGTGGTAGTAGTAGTAGTAGTAGTAGTAGTAGTAGTAGTCGTAGTCGTAGTCGTAGTCGTAGTCGTAGTCGTAGTAGTAGTAGAAGAAGAAGTAGAAGTAGAAGAAGAAGTAGAAGTAGAAGTAGAAGTAGAAGTAGAAGTAGAAGGAGAAGTAGTCGTAGTAGTAGTAGTAGTAGTAGTAGTAGTAGTAGTAGTAGTAGTTGTAGCAGCAAGAGTAGTAGTAGTAGTAGTAGTAGTAGTAGTAGTAGTAGTAGTAGTAGTAGTAGTAGTAGTAGTAGTAGTAGTAGTAGTAGTAGTGGTAGTGGTAGTAGTAGTAGTAGTAGTCGTCGTACCAGTAGTAGAGGTCGTCGTAGTAGTAAAGAACCAAGTGAAGAAGACAAAGAACAAGTGAAAGTAGTAGAAGAAGATACAGCCGTTCATTTTCTGCTCACCAGACACACGGAAAAGGAACACGTGAAGCAAGCAAGGATCATTGGGTTACGACACACCTCCCCGCCCCCAGACGGCTCCCCCAAAGCAGAGGTCCCTCGTGACCTCAGTCTGCACAGCACGAAGACGCAGTCTCACGTTGTTTGTGCTGAAAGCCAGCATTGGTTGAACATGTTCGCGGCGCAGAATATCCAGCACGATCGTAACATGACTGAATGCTCACATGAGGGGCAACATTTCTGATAGCCCCTCCCCCTCTCCTTCCCCTTCCCGCCCTCCCCAACGGGAACCCATTCCTGCACCAGGCCAACCTTGCTGCCTATTTCAACATGTTAGATCCTCATGTGGAAGCCATGTCATCCCCCATGTGTTTGCCATGTATTTTCGCTTCTGATTGCGTAGTTTGACATGTTCAGGTTGCTATATCTCACTGCGTATTGACTGCTATCGTTAGAGCTCCTATTTTCGTCAGAGCGTGCAGCTGTACACCGCCACGTCTCACCAGATCCCAGACCTGTAATTATGCACAACCACAAACCGACGTAAGCCCGTGTCATTTTGTACATCGGAGCGGAATACATATATATATATATATCTATGTGTAGATACATTCAAATAAAAACGGATAGATGGACAGAGCGCGAGCATCGTGCTCTTGCATCAGAGCAGGGCGTGGGCAGATCTCGACAACGTTTTTTGTTGGCCTTGTGCTACTGTGATCACGATGACCTCGTGCTAGTTAGTGTGATCACATTGACCTCGTGCTAGTTATTTGTCAAGCACCGTCACTTTGTTCCAGGTGCAAGCCCTTGTCTACAATCGTTTGTGCAGTGGCCGAGTCCATGGAGTACTATATCCCGGCTAGTGGATGTCACGGTTGAGTACCGTTTGATGGTTTTCTTTTGAACAAGATCCCCGATGGATCAGGCTGGATCGTGTCTACAAGGCACGGCCTGTACATTCTGCCACCTTTCGCACACTCGTGAACGCAAGTAGCCTGGCGGCATTTGCATTGCCACGGGTGGAGGGGCCAGTCCTGTTGGCCGTCTTGGGCGCAATCGTGATGAGCTGTATGAGATAGGTGATCTTCGACTAGCAGGGCTGAGGGGAGACCGATTCTTGGTGCAGGAGGATGGACTTGGAAGTCAGATCAACCTACAATCCTTTTGCCTGTCCCATCTACCTGTCTGATGTATGAGACGAGAGAGACAAGGAAACCAAAGGAGACCTGCCTCTAAGGCTTGACAAGTGGCACCGTGGTTTCCTGCGCCAACTTGACAAGGCTGACGGCTGTGATGTGTTGTGCTATCAGCCGACAGCCACTGAGCAAGTTTCCATCCAGTCTTTTCAACCTCCGCAGCATTGTTGTGCTTGCCTCGGGATTCTCCTTTGAATGTCCTTGCAGATTCTCTTCTGCTGATTAGGGCAGTAACGGCTTCGATTTTTCCGATATCGGATATCCTACATTTTGTGCTGCAATCAATCCTTTCTGCTGGTTTTCGTAGTTGCCGTGGCTTCTGCTGCTGCTGCTGCTGCGGGTCCTGCCGCTGCCCCTGCCGCCACCGCTGCTGCCACTTCAGCTTGGTGGTGCCTACAAGCCCAACGTGCTCGCACGCGCACGCATGCACGCACGCATGTAGGCAGAGACAACAAACAGACACTGGAGGAGGTTGCCAGAGTTCTTCGCGGGCTAGTGAAATAGACCTGCACGAGCACATGACATGACATGGCAGGATCTGGACGTGCGGATTTGTGGGAAGATCCGTCATGGTGACCTTGTCGCCTTTAAGTGTCGCTGCGGAAAGCCATCAGACACAACGCTTAGATGCGGATTTGCACATGCGCAGCTGCGCACACTCATACACAACCTGTGGCATTAATCGTGCATTCATACGCGCATGTGCGCACATTCCAGCATTCGCAACATTACGCAGTGGAAGCAGTATCTGTGAGATGTCGAAACACATGCCATATGCAGTTACACGCATGGCCGTGGCGGAAAGGAACTCTGGAGCTCCCGTTCTTCCACGTCCCACAGACTTGGTAGGCTTTTGTTTCCTTGCGGCCTCCACGGCCGCTGCCCCGTTCGTGCTACCATCCGCACATATCCGTACCCGAACGGTGGTGTTACTTCAAAAGCCTTGTCAGCGTCACTCAACATCTGTTGTGCCGTATCACTTATCGCAGTACCAATGGTTCCCATTAGCATTCTTCCGTGGCCACATGCAAGCAAACCTCTTCCACGTGTAGATCCCAACACTCGACGAACGAATTTTTGTTCGAACTGGTCAGGCCGATTATCTCCGCCTGCTGCAACAGGCCTTTTCAGAGAGCGGATCAAGGGTCTCAGGTCTCGGCATCAAGGGGCTGCGGAGTTAAGAGTTTCGTGGCTGGAAGTGCCTGTGTCTCTGTTTCCGGAAAGCCTGCATTGAGCCAGCTGCATGGGGTGGGCTCCTCCATGCTCCTCCCCGATGCCTCCCTCGGCAGAGTGAAGAGATCCACGATCCTTGTGCAACAGGCAACGGTTCTTTCTGTCTAATATTCTATGCTAGATGTATGTATGCTACACTTACAGTTGAGCAGGGTGCGTTGCCAACAACGACGTGCAGGGTGGTATGACGCGAGGCACGTACAGTTATGTAGAAAACATGTTGGCCTCCTGCAGACTGCAGGTGATCTGGAAGAAGTCTGAATCACTTGGTTTTCCACGCAAGCAGGCTGGACTTGTTGTTTTGATTACAGATGAGGTAGCAAACAAGCACACTTTGCTGCGGGGCTTCCGTCGAGAACGGCGGAGGGAACTTCTGTCGGCCTTGCAGGAGCTCATTGACGTCCTCGAGCATGAGATTAAGGCAAGAGCACATACTCAGGGTCTCAGGAGTCGGCGGTGGCGGGTGTCGCAGTCCAGGAGCTGCTTGGGTTTGGTCCACCTAAATGCCCTGAAATTCAAACCGGCATTGTCCGCCCTCATGCCTGTCAGGTCGTTGAGATGGACCAGGCGTCTCGCGCCCCTCGGACAATTGCAGTGCGACACTTGTCGTCGAGTGTACAATGCGGAGTGTAACCGACAAAATGTCAAATGTCATGGTTATGCCGGAGTTACGAAAGTCTGAACCCTGGGCTCGACTTGAACCTCATTATGCCAGCAAGTGCATCTCGCAGTATGTGGAAGGAAAGCACACACATTGTATCTCATAACCTGCAACAATGCATGATTGTAGTCATATAAAAAGATGCCAGCAGCCTTAGTTCGGTGGCACAATACTGCATGCGTACGAGTGACGAGCAAGTGCACAGAATGCGAGAGCAAATCATGACTTACAGGCGGACATGGTTATGCTTGTTTTCATAGGTCTACATTTTGCCGGTACATGTTAATGCAGTAGGGTATGTGCTTGCGCATGTATACGTCTGCATGAAAAAGCATGTGTCAACGGATTCGTTTTTCAACGGATTCGTTTTTCTAGACTATACGTGCGCAGGGGAAGTGTCTCCAAGAACCAGGCTTGGAGGATTCGTTGCGAAGTTTTTATGCGAGGACAATTTCAAGCCGAGGTCCGACGCGCGACACGGGCAGAACGCTCGACTGTCGTAAGGCGGTTATCTTGCATGTCGCTCGGAGCTTTGGTCTCGATCGCGGCACGCGAGTGTCCCTCGCCTGACTTACGGTTTAGGAGCATTTTCTGGTCGCTTTCGATGGAAGAATGTAGTGTAGCCCGCAGACATTGCTCTAGAAGGAAGGCTTCCAGGTTTTGACATGTCATATAGCAGGCCTGGGCAGCGCAAACAGACCATCAAACCGTTATCTTGATGGGAAGATGGGAGAGCTGATGCATTTGCTTGACAGCGGCATCGTGCATTCCAAGCTCGGAGGTCAACAGAGGTTACCTCTAAGTCTGGTTTTGAGGCATTTCGGAGTTGTGGAGGAGGCCGAGCGATTCGTGTTGTGCCAATTCGTTGTTGTCTGTAGCGTTGAAGAAGCTCCGCAAGGAAAGACGTCTGCGAGAGGTGGCAACCTTTGTTTAGTAGCCATGGTATTGCCACGAGTATGTACGCAGCTGCCGTTTTGTCACGACTGACTAACGTAGTTGCTGAATACCGCTTTACCAACCAGATCTGTCCAAAGTAGAACTACCGCATCTCATGCAACCGAGGCCAGCCAGCAACCCAAGACGCCTTGTGGCAGATTGTGGATGAGGTTCGACATCGTACGCAAATTGTTCAGAGCACGGCCTGAGATGCCCGGAGTCTCGTGCCACGCGTCGCACCGCCATGAGATGCCGAGAGCCGCCGAAAGTCTAAGTCCACTTAGGTATCGTTTGGGACTCAACACATTCGTCACTGGCTTGTAGCTGCCAAAGTTGCAGGCTGAGCGTATTTTTCTGAAGGTGTCCATGCGAAGATTTGTGAACTGTCTGTAAGGGAACCTGCGCAGAAGGAGTGTGTAGAATCTCACACACATAGACCTCTGTTCTTGAGGAGTGACTGCATCTGTAGGTTCCGCTATCCAGGTTGTGGTTGGGGGGTCAGTGATAATATGGAGGGCAGCACGTTCGGCTCGTCTCAGTGGTGAGTGACAGCGCACTTACGGTCACCACAGCGGTCCATGCGCACATGCCACTCTTGGGGTCCTGAGTGAAGTGCAGTGAACACCAGAAGCTTTGAACATTGATTCCTATGTAATTAATTTCGGGGAAGCCCCGACGAGTAGGGGGGCATGGGTACAAGGAGTTCAAGCTATCTGGCAGTTTTCTGTACCGCTTACATGCTTCTGGCCAAGGGCACACGGGATTCAGTATCTTTACAGTCCGTGGACTGCAGGGAACTCCAAACTGACCTTCCAGCCTGGAGCATGTGGCGAATTCGACCCCTGGCGTGGCGACCGCTTATGTCAAGGGGTCCACCATACAGTAGTAAGCCATAGTATATCCAAGTTAGCATTTTCCGTTGGGCTGGGAGTTTGGCTTCGTTGCTATGCTATCGGTCCAAGAGAAGTAATGCACTCGAGATTCGGGCTTGCCGCTGTGCCACTTCATCTTTTCAATTACGCACTACTTGCAAAGCTCTGTGTTTCTCTGCCGAGAGAGGAGAGCCTTTGGCGGAGTCGGGATTGGAATGCTAACGCAGCACATTCAGCAGTTCCGACGGCACATGTTCCGGCATGTAAGAGAATTGCATACGAGAGTTGTTCATACGGAAGAATGTGGAACAAAAATGGGAAAAAGTGCATATTGTCGGGTACCAGCAAAGTACTATGTTGTAGTTGCATTTTTGCAGTGTGGGGTGACGAGCCACGCTCGCCATCCTTGACTTGCAGAGAAGGACAGAAACTGCTACGAAGTGACGCGTTGCTTACAGGAAGTAGGGATTGAAATTGGATATGTTGAATGCCTGTGGCCCACATTCTCAGCCTGGTGCAGCAAAGCCGCGGTTCGGAGGGTCCAGAGGATCCCCTGCGTGGCTGAGCACTTTCCGTAACTTTGAGCTCTGCCGTGGAATGTCGGAATCTGGCTTGGAGTGGTGACAGAGGGTAGCTGAGGCCGAGGACGCATCTTTCTCTGTAATATATGCATTACCTGCATTACATGCAGCTGTACATGTACATGTACACGCTACCTGCCTACCTACATACATACACAATACTTGCATACATACTTACATACATATGCGCATATGCGAATACGTGCATGCATACACGAACTTACATACATGCGTTGCATACACTACATGTACACACAAGCAGGGACACAGTAAATGTTCGTGTGCACGCGTGCAATGAGTAACCCTGTCTCCAAGCTTGGTTCGTAAAAACATGGCCCCATAGGTGAGATGCTGTGGTGCTTGTCTGGGGGTATTGAGAAAGGGCGGCGGCAAGACTACCGACTATGACCATTGCAATGGAACAGAAGCCCCCGCAGTCCCTGCAGGTAGGTCTCTGGGCGTACGGTGTGTCTGCATGGCCTGACCACTGGTTGCTTGGACTGCTCACGGTGGCTTGGAAGCTGATTGACTTGAATCCCCGAGGTCCTTGATGTTGCTTGCGATGGCTTTGCGTGTGCGTGTGTGTCTGTCTGTCTGTGTGTGTCTGTGTGTGTGTTTGTTTGCACGTGCGTGCTTGCACGTGATCGGATGCGCAGCAATGGGCGTGGGTGGGTGGGGGAGACATTTCCCGCGAAGTCGATGTGCATTTTGCGATCTGGCCCCCCAACGCTCGCCGAGCTGGTGTGCAATTCGGACAAGAAGATAAAGTGACAGCAACGCGGTTTTCCGGCAGGTTTTCGCGACCTTCGGACTCTTTCACTTTGGAGCCTCTCAGGTTGATGAAACTGCTCCGTGGCACGCCATCCCTGCAGAGGACTTGTTCGGGGATTTTTTGTTAGGGGCCCGCCCGCGACATTTCACGACAAAAGCTTCCACCCTGCCTTAGCCTTAGCCCTGCCTTAGCGTGAGCTTTCAGTCCGGAGCATGGTGCTATCTATCGCTCCAGATTCGAAGTTCTTGTGCAAGATTTGATTGTAATTATTTGTTTCTCCAGCTCCTTCAGCTAAGACACCATGCTCGCCATCCGCAGAAGGCAGCCTGTCAAGCTAAGGCAGAAATTACACTAGACGGTCAGAAGATTTGAAATCACAGCTTGAGTTTCACATTTCATGTATACGAAAGGTCCTGACGAGGGCTCCGTCGGCCAATCACGGTGCGTACACAAGGATGACAGCCTACCTTGTAGTGGTTCTTGTGAGATGCAGTTTGATTTACTGCAACCATGCAAGTTCCCAAAGTTTCAGCCAGAATGAACCTGAGACCCTTCGAGTTCTCAATGATAGATCGGTTGATTGATTCCCCATAAGTGGACGCATGTCTGTGCGGTCTGGAGTCAGGGCACAGCAGGACCGTTCGGCTCTGGACACGACGCTGCCACGACTCCGGCGGTTTGTTGAGCTACCGGCTCGGGCAAACTCGACAGAGCCGCGGTCGATGCAGATCTTTCGAGGAGAGATGACAGAGTGCTTCAGCGTTGTGTTCGACGTTGAAATTGCTGAAACAGATTTGTCAATCACTTTTCTGGAGCCAGAAGCACAAAGACTGCCTCGCTTGCTTTCTTGCGAGCGACCTGATCCGCCTTGGAGTTATCTGCCATGCTGCGGATGCCATATTGGCCTTTCTGCAACCCCAAATCCGAGAGACCTGGTGTAACAACGCCACCGATGCCTAGAAACAGCCGCCCGAAGACCCGTCAGGGGATCGCAGGGCTGACTGAGAAGCAAGAGCTCCAGAGATGTCATAGTTGTTGCATCAGGTCTTGAATCAGTCTTTCCTTGCCTTAGCTGCTTTCAGCAATCGGAGACAGAGTCTTCCTGTAGCATGGTGTTGGCAATGGCTGCAATTTCAATTCAAAATCTCGTGCGAGATTCATAGTGGAGAAGGAAGTTTCGTTGTTTTTTCCTCAAGCTAAGACACCATACTTGCGATCCGCCGAAGGCAGCCCAACGGAACTGTTTTACGACTTGAAATCCTGCCTTGAGTGGAGATACATATAAAGGTCCTGGCAAGGGCTCTGACGGCCAATGACAGAGGTACATCATCCTGTAGTGCTTCCTTTCAGATGTAGCTTCGCTGCGATCACGCATATCCATAAACGGCAAAGTTTCAGCCAGAATGAATCTGAGACCCTTCGAGCTCTCAATGATAGATCGGTTGATTGATTCCCATAAGTGGCCTGGACGCATGTCTGCGCGGTCTGGAGTCAGGGCACAGCAGGACCTTTCAGCTCCGGACACGATGCTGCCCAGAATCGGGAGCTTCCCGGGTTCCCGACTCGGGCAAGCTCGACGGAGCCTTTGCCAAGTGCGGGTAGATTCAGTTAATTCGATCTATTTAATCATTTTTCGCGGAGAGGTAGAGCAGCAGAGAAACCAGGTGCATGCACCAGCGACAGCGATGTCTCGAAACAGCGTTCCCCCAATGCCAGGGCTTCGGGTTCGCAGGGCAGGTTGATGTGTTGCGTTGTTGCTGTACACAGTGGGCCTGTGGGCGTGCCGTATCACTTTGAGTCTAGGGTTGTCCTAGGGTCCTAGAGAAAAATTGGTTTTCTTTCGTGGTGGCTCTCTAGCACAGTTTGATGTGACCTTTCGGCTGAGTTCGATGTGACAGGGCCGAGGCTTCGAGCCCCCATTGGCTTTCAGCATCGAAGCCAGCGACGTATGCCTCGATTTCGGAAGGCCGTTGAGTTTTACGACAGTCTTACGAACTACTACTGGTAGGAGCAACTGAATCAAGGGCTGTTTCTTTCAGTGTCCAATGAGGATGTTGCGAAGATTCGGTCCAGACTGGATGGCCTCAACTTTGCTTTCGGGAGTGTTGCGTCGCCGTCGCCCACGAATGCGTGGTGTCAAAGGCGCTGCATGCCTTTAGGGCCTTTAGGTAACCAGTTGGACGGTGCGCTCGCAATGGAAACTTAGGTTTTTTGCCGCCCAAAACATATCATGCAAGAGAGGATCATCCAAACATGTGCCCTGCTCGGATCCTTAAGGGTTTTGAGCCTCGTTTTTGAGGAACAAAGCGCTGCAAAAGTACTCGCAGTTCATGCTGGGCAAGAAGCTCAAGCAGGACTAACGGTCTCAGATTCAACAGTTCAGCCCTGCACTTGCGCCTTGGAATGTGGTAAGATGTGCTGATATGCTTGACGGGCGGAGTGCTGTCAGACACAATCACTTTTGCTGACTCTTCGACTCCATAGTGCCTTTCCGTGGTTTTACTGCATTGCCCGGCTGGTTCTTCAATTTGCAGCCGGAAGAGCACCAAGTCGAGGACAACAAGTCACTTCTGACCTCCTCCTTTGCCGAGTGGCGCCGAGAGGGTAAAGTTCTCAGGCCTGGCACTGAGATGGGCATGCGCTGAGAGGTGCTGTCTTCGAGACAGCGCAGCTGTTGCATGGCGACAATTCGAGAAACTTGCTGTGAGTAGCTACATGAGACTGATGAGTGCGCCAGCACTTGTTTGCAAGTGGCAACGTGCTTGCTCTCTCTCTCTCTATATATATATATGACTCTATGCACTTTCTGGCCAAGATGCAGCGATCAACTGTGCAAGATTGCTGCAGATGAATGTCTGCGTGCAGAGCCCCAGGCATGAAGAAGCCCTGAATACGCTGGAAGAGCGCGATGCCTGAGCCTTAGAGCATGTTGCGTGTTTCGGGTTTTTGTTTTGCCTTTCCGGACCAGGATGCCTCCAAGGCGT